TCTTCCCAGTAAATGCATTCTTCTTGTTCTTCTAATCAACCAGGTTTCAGGTATTATGATACTAATTGGAGATACGAGAATAAATAGGACATAAAGGACCTCTTCACTTGGCGTGCTGACCCTCTGGGGAGCCCCTGACAGATAGTTGACCAAAGATATGGATCTGCAGCCAGGGTAGTGCAGTGTTTCTGACCCAACCTCTTTCTAGCTGATGACTTAGGGACCGATGCCTCTCTTGGCTTCATCTTATGCCACTGTAGTGTGAAGGTACTAAATGTACACGTTCACATTTAATAGGAGGATTCTAATTCAATACACATGAATATCTAAGAAGAGTGTCTTGAATAAAATAAACACAAAATATTAGCCATTGCTTTTATGCTAGGTTACCTATCCAAATAAAACCAGGATCAAGTTTAGAAATTTACCAAAACAACGTTATGAGATGGTCAGCATGAAGGACCAAGGATTTACCTAAAGTTTATGCTAACTCATCTGAGCTTTCACAGTCACAAGTAGAGTTTCCGAGCTCATATGCTATCATTGGGGTAAATCCGATGGAACTTGTCTTAGTGTAAGTTCATCTTTTACCAAGATATAAAACTTACTTCATTTCATGACTTCGTTTCAATCTGGTGCTTCAAATTGGCTCAGAAATAGTAGAAAGAAAGACACCTGAGATCTGAGATCTGAGAACCATGGATGCCAAAGGATGTGAGGTGTCTATTAGAATTCACAGTTACCTGGTTGACCATCACATTTCCCAATATCGATCTTCACACTTATAATACTTGACGTTTCATGAACACTATGTTAGAAAAACACCTTTTTGCATTATTGCCTCACTGAACTTCAACTGTCTTAGGATAAGGGTGTTATTAAAGCTTCATTATAGACATATTCAGAAGGAATAAGAACTATCATGACGTCACACAGTAATGGCTGTAGTCACAATTCTCTCACATTTTTAAATTTACTCGAATCTGCTGCTATGACCCTACTGTTTCTCCATCTCTTTAATGAGACAAAAAGTCCAGGACCTTAAGAAATATTTTATCAGGGTTTGAAAGCACATCTCTACTCAAATTACTGTCACTACTCATAGTCCTTTAGCCCTTAAGTTTGCAAATGGCTTCATAAGCCTTCAAGCTTATACAATTCCTCAATGTTTATTTTGTGTCTGAGAAGTAGAGGGAAAAAAGTGATTTTTTTCTTTCATTTACTAACAGAAATAGTGAAATTGCTGACAAAATTTCACGTAGATATTGCATGGTGGAACCTAATATCAAAGGAAGATTTTCTGATAATTTTCACGAGAGAGAGAGAGAATCTACCCATTTCTTTCCATGGATGGTAGAAGGGTAAAGATAAATGTTCAAATCCTCATATGCTTAGGAGAGGAACTCGACATTCACATTGCTGCGTAAGTATCTGACCGGGTAGGTCATCCCAGAAGGGAAACCGGGACCGCAGACATCTCCAGGAGGAGACCCAGGAGAGACGATCCCTAATAACACTGCGGAGCTGCAACTTGAGGGGAAGGAAACAATACAGAAACGGCGCCTTCATTCAGTCAGCACCACGTGTGAAAGAGGTGGCTGGGAAAATGCTCAGTACAGAGAAGAGAAGCCGTGTCTTGGAGGTTTGCATAGGCCTAATTTTCCTGCCTTTGTACCAGATATTGTCTCCTAAGCAGTCAGGAAATGGAGAGTCAGGTTCCTGGTCACCCCGCTGCTACCCTGGTCTCCACGATGCTACAGTTTACTAAGTGCTCACAACATCCTAGTGTTTAAGCACCTAACAGACCAGATCTTACAGTGGTTATCGTTGTTCATTTCTTCTTGGCATTGGAGACTGTTGAGCATCAGAGGCCATACCCAAGGCCACAAAGCTATCCAGTGTGAAAAAGACAGAGATTCGAGTGTAGATGTATGTGACACCAGAAATGAGCATTTAGTTTCTAAACTATGTCAATAAAATTGAAGAAGATTGTCTCGGGCTTCTAGGGTACCTCCTGTATTATTATTCAAATCACTGAATAAAAACCCCTTGTTTCTTCAAAATGGGTTTTTAAAATTTAATTTAATTTGTGATTGGGATTGAGGAAGAAAATACCAGAAAACACAGGGTTCTGTGGGTGTCAATGAAGGCAGTGGGGGTAAGAGGCTGAAAATGGGAATGAACAGGAAAATAAAGGCTTTGTTATGGTCATGTATATCTAGTTGTCTAAAAAAAAAAGGAAGAAAAGAAAAGAAAAAAAGAAAAAAAATTTTTTGACTCTAGCAAGTAGAGAATTAGAATGTGAGAATGTTAAACACACACACGCTATTTGTATCTTGATTTTAAGTCTCTATCCTACACATCTTCTGAGTAAAGGAAGGCAGGGTGTGAGTTCGTTACACACAAAAGCAGTCACTGTGACAGATACACACATACCAAAAGATGATTGATAGACTTCTCTAGCTTATATCGGGTAGGTAGATGCAGTCAAGGTATGAGACACCATCACACAAATCTTTGCAAAACTCACAAAATACAGTGTCACATGCACCTCACAGCGGCACACAGAACTATCACGCACCCTCTCCAGCATGCATTGAAGTCGTAAGAGGTCATACATATTCAAATCGCAGGTGATGCACACTGTCTTACACACAGCACACAGATGACAAAACTCAAGTAAAATAAGTGCACACGTTTCTGCGAGGAAAGTTTCTGCCTTCCCTGACTTATATTCTAGGTGAGGGCAACCAGTGTGTGAGTCAGCAGACCGTTTGCATGAGCACATACAACACACGCGCACGCACGCACACAAGACCGTGGACATTTCTGGGCATCTGCTGACCTATACCAGTGCTGTGAGTTCAGATAC